GTAAAGTCCGAGGCAGGCACGGTGAAAAGCTCTGTTCCACAAGGCACAGTACTCGCTCCCATCTTGTTCCTCATCCTCATATCTGACATAGACAAGGATGTCAGCCACAGCACCGTGTCTTCCTTTGCAGATGACACCCGAATCTGCATGACAGTGTCTTCCATTGCAGCACTGCAAGGCTCCAGGCGGACATCAACCAAATCTTTCAGTGGGCTGCAGAAACACATGAGTTCAACGTGGGATTTCAATACCAGATATGGTAAACACGAGGAAATTAAATCTTCATCAGAGTACAAAACAAATTCTGGCCACAAAATAGAGCGAAACACCAACGTCAAAGACCTGGGAGTGATCATGTCGGAGGATCTCACCTTCAAGGACCATAACATTGTATCGATCGCATCTGCTAGAAAAATGACAGGATGGATAATGAGAACCTTCAAAACGAGGGATGCCAAGCCCATGATGACACTCTTCAGGTCACTTGTTCTATCTAGGCTGGAATATTGCTGCACACTAACAGCACCTTTCAAGGCAGGTGAAATTGCTGACCTAGAAAATGTACAGAGAACCTTCACGGCGCGCATAATGGAGATAAAACACCTCAATTACTGGGAGCGCTTGAGGTTCCTGAACCTGTATTCCCTGGAATGCAGGCGGGAGAGATACATGATTATATACACCTGGAAAATCCTAGAGGGACTAGTACCGAACTTGCACACGAAAATCACTCACTACGAAAGCAAAAGACTTGGCAGACAATGCAACATCCCCCAATGAAAAGCAGGGGTGTCACTAGCACGTTAAGAGACCATACAATAAGTGTCAGGGGCCCGAGACTGTTCAACTGCCTCCCAGCATACATAAGGGGGATAACCAACAGACCCCTGGCAGTCTTCAAGCTGGCACTGGACAAGCACCTAAAGTCGGTTCCTGATCAGCCGGGCTGTGGCTCGTACGTTGGTTTGCGTGCAGCCAGCAGTAACAGCCTGGTTGATCAGGCTCTGATCCACCAGGAGGCCTGGTCACAGACCGGGCCGCGGGGGCGTTGACCCCCGGAACTCTCTCCAGGTAAACTCCAGGTAATAGGCTATTTCATACCTGGAACAGATTGGCGACTTGTACTTCCCGAAGAGGGGAGGACGGATTGATGACTGGTACTCCACAGTCTCAGGGACGGATTCGTGACCGGTAACTCCCACAGTTTGGGGGACGGATTGACGACTGGTACTTCCCACAGCCTGGGGAGCTGATTAATGACTGGTACTTCCCACAGTCTGGAAGAACAGACTGGCGAATTGTTCTTAACATAGGCTGGGGGACGGATTCGCGACCGGTAACTCCCACAGTCTGGGGGACGGATTCGTGACCGGTAACTCTCACAGTCTGGGTGGACGGATTGATGACTGGTACTTCCCGAAGGCTGGGGGACGAATTGATGACTGGTACTTCCCGAAGGCTGGGGGACGGATTGATGACTGGTACTTCCCACAGGCTGGAAGGTACAGGTTACGTGTAGACATCTGTCTACGTAGGTTCAGCTGCTCTCGGGTATTTTATAACCTGGAGAAAGGCTCAACTATAATAGCAAAAACAGGTTCTCACCACCAAAACATCCACTCAGTAAATATCCTGGTACAACATCCTTTACCCCTGAGCGAAATTGTGTAATTAACTCTGGCTTTGATGTATCTTTGAATTACCATATCTATCGGCATTTTGCCTTCCACTCATAGAGCTTCTCCGAGTCCTTCGTGAATGAAGCTTTTGTAAAAAAAAAACCTTCCCGAAGTTCTTTAGGATAGAAATCCCTGATTACATTTATAATTGATGAAAGAAGTCCTTTCACTTTCTTGTGTGTGTGCGTGTGTGTGTGTGTGTGTGTGTGTGTGTGTGTGTGTGTGTGTGTGTGTGTGTGTGTGTGTGTGTGTGTGTGTGTGTGTGTGTGTGTGTGTGTGCGTGCTCGCTCACCTACATTTATCTGGAGGCTTGTGAGAGCTTCCCATTTACTCCGAAAAGCTTTTTCTGTTTTACATTAAAGCTGAGTGCTGATCTTGTTGCTGCAGCTGCGTCAGTCTTGCTGAGTGCTGATCATGCTGTTGCAGCTGCGTCAGTCTTGCTGGGTGCTGATCTTGTTGCTGCAGCTGCGTCAGTCTTACTGAGTGCTGATCATGCTGCTGCAGCTGCGTCAGTCTTGCTGAGTGCTGATCTTGTTGCTGCAGCTGCGTCAGTCTTCCTGAGTGCTGATCTTGTTGCTGCAGCTGCGTCAGTCTTGCTGAGTGCTGATCATGCTGCTGCAGCTGCGTCAGTCTTGCTGAGTGCTGATCTTGTTGCTGCAGCTGCTTCAGTCTTGCTGAGCGCTGATCTTGTTGCTGCAGCTGCGTCAGTCTTGCTGAGTGCTGATCTTGTTGCTGCAGCTGCGTCAGTCTTCCTGAGCGCTGATCTTGTTGCTGCAGCTGCGTCAGTCTTCCTGAGCGCTGATCTTGTTGCTGCAGCTGCGTCAGTCTTGCTGAGTGCTGATCTTGTTGCTGCAGCTGCGTCAGTCTTGCTGAGTGCTGATCTTCTTACTGCAGCTGGGTCAATCTTGCTGAGTGCTGATCCTGCTGCTGCAGCTGCGTCAGTCTTGCTGAGTGCTGATCTTGTTGCTGCAGCTGCGTCAGTCTTGCTGAGTGCTGATCTTCTTACTGCAGCTGCGTCAGTCTTGCTGAGTGCTGATCTTCTTACTGCAGCTGGGTCAATCTTGCTGAGTGCTGATCATGCTGCTGCAGCTGCGTCAGTCTTGCTGAGTGCTGATCTTGTTGCTGCAGCTGGGTCAATCTTGCTGAGTGCTGATCATGCTGCTGCAGCTGCGTCAGTCTTGCTGAGTGCTGATCTTGTTGCTGCAGCTGCGTCAGTCTTGCTGAGTGCTGATCATGCTGCTGCAGCTGCGTCAGTCTTGCTGAGTGCTGATCTTGTTGCTGCAGCTGCGTCAGTCTTGCTGAGTGCTGATCTTCTTATTGCAGCTGCGTCAGTCTTGCTGAGTGCTGATCTTCTTACTGCAGCTGGGTCAATCTTGCTGAGTGCTGATCATGCTGCTGCAGCTGCGTCAGTCTTGCTGAGTGCTGATCTTCTTATTGCAGCTGGGTCAGTCTTGCTGAGTGCTGATCTTCTTACTGCAGCTGGGTCAATCTTGCTGAGTGCTGATCATGCTGCTGCAGCTGCGTCAGTCTTGCTGAGTGCTGATCTTGTTGCTGCAGCTGCGTCAGTCTTGCTGAGCGCTGATCTTGTTGCTGCAGCTGCGTCAGTCTTCCTGAGTGCTGATCTTATTGCTGCAGCTGCGTCAGTCTTCCTGAGCGCTGATCTTGTTGCTGCAGCTGCGTCAGTCTTGCTGAGTGCTGATCTTGTTGCTGCAGCTGCGTCAGTCTTGCTGAGTGCTGATCTTGTTGCTGCAGCTGCGTCAGTCTTGCTGAGTGCTGATCTTCTTACTGCAGCTGGGTCAATCTTGCTGAGTGCTGATCCTGCTGCTGCAGCTGCGTCAGTCTTGCTGAGTGCTGATCTTGTTGCTGCAGCTGCGTCAGTCTTGCTGAGTGCTGATCTTCTTATTGCAGCTGGGTCAGTCTTGCTGAGTGCTGATCTTCTTACTGCAGCTGGGTCAGTCTTGCTGAGTGCTGATCTTCTTATTGCAGCTGGGTCAGTCTTGCTGAGTGCTGATCTTCTTATTGCAGCTGCGTCAGTCTTGCTGAGTGCTGATCTTGTTGCTGCAGCTGCGTCAGTCTTGCTGAGTGCTGATCATGCTGCTGCAGCTGGGTCAGTCTTGCTGAGTGCTGATCTTCTTGCTGCGGCTGCATCAGTCTTGCTGAGTGCTGATCTTCTTGCTGCGGCTGCGTCAGTCTTGCTGAGTGCTGATCATGCTGCTGCAGCTGCGTCAGTCTTGCTTAGTGCTGATCTTTTTACTGCAGCTGCGTCAGTCTTGCTTAGTGCTGATCTTCTTACTGCAGCTGCGTCAGTCTTGCTTAGTGCTGATCTTCTTACTGCAGCTGGGTCAATCTTGCTGAGTGCTGATCATGCTGCTGCAGCTGCGTCAGTCTTCCTGAGTGCTGATCTTGTTGCTGCAGCTGCGTCAGTCTTCCTGAGTGCTGATCTTGTTGCTGCAGCTGCGTCAGTCTTCCTGACTGCTGATCTTGTTGCTGCAGCTGCGTCAGTCTTCCTGAGTGCTGATCCTGCTGCTGCAGCTGCGGCTACTTAACGTTACCATTACTAGCGAAGTATTCCCAGTTGTGTGTGTGTGTATGCACTCAAATGTATAATTTCCAATTAGTAATTCCTAATCTGAGTATGTGTCGGATGAACCCCAGCTCCTGTCCCCACTAAAGGAGTGTTGGCGATGTAGTTTCCAATTCTATTTCATATTTATTCTGAGGTAATCCTGTTCGAGCTAACGGGAGGGTGGCCATTTCCTTAGATCAAGAGCCCTCACCCGCATCAAGGTACCTCTTTCAAAGAGATCTTAGGGTATATACTCAAAGAGGTCTATATATATTTCAGGGTATAGACACAGAATGCTTTCTATCTCTCAGAATATATACAATGAGAGTGTATTCACTATTGTGAGGATTCAAGTAACGTACATTCGTTGAGGAACGCTAAACCCTGAATCCGGCAGCTCTTGGGGAATGGGAGGTAATCAAGTCTTAGCCAAAGAAATTAACTCCACTTCTCTCGATCAAGAGCCTTGCGCCCGCATCAAGGGTGAAAGATTTAAGAATTCCTGATTGTTGTGTACAGGAGATGTATTCTTAATGACCCTCGTGCAGTCGATAGGTTTAAACTTAACAATACCCTTAAAGGATTTAAATTCTTTCGAGGTCGAAAATATATTCAGAGATAAATAAATGCTGGAATTATTATAATAAATTCTGGAGCCTTGAACATTCCTGTTACTCAGGTAAGGGGGCTCGATCCTCCTTGTCATTATCTCAAGGAGACTTACCTGTCCCTGCGTCTCCTGAAGCTGAACTCACCTGAGCATAATTAGATGATCAAGTCCCAGAAGAGGGGGTCACCTTCGCCCCCGCATGCTTCTCACAAGGGATGTAAAAATGATAATCAATGTGACACAGGCGCCGGGAGCGTGTCTAGCACACCACTCCCTCTGAACAGTGAAAGTGTACTGATGATGAAGCCCAGCACTGTGTGTGGCAGCTGCACCGCCAGCGGTAGGATGAATATACTTCATTTCCTCACATTTCATGAGGAATTTACTTAATATATATATGATTTAATGTCGTATATGCTTCCTGTTGATCAGTACACCTACGAGTTTCAGCAGTTTGTTTGAGAATTGAGTATTTTGAAAAGTGTGTGCAAGGCAGTACCAGATGCCACACACCACTAGCAGGTAGCAACGATAATCAACAGGTGTTTAAAGAGAACGGGAAATGGATCTTTAAATCAACCAGATATAGAAGATCATCAAACTTGTGGGAGCTGGAAAGTAGATAACTGAGTGTCAGCCGACTACTGTTTGTCGTATCCAGGAAAATGCTGTGCTAGAAACTCAAGACTCGGTAGAAGTTACGTCCTGGACAAAATGCCGTGAATAAGAGAACTCCAGACATATTGTATCATTCAGGTCCTGAGTATGAAGTATCCCTAGAATACCGTATACATGAACGCTTTGTAAATATCCAGATGTGCATATAATTCTTGATGTATATTCACTGGAGAAATCGTTCATTTACAAGTGGAGGGGTATATGTCTCAGTATATAATATATATATATATATATATATATATATATATATATATATTATATATATATATATATATATATATATATATGTCGTGCCGAATATGTAAAACTGGTCAATTAGCAAGAACTCATTTAAAATTAAGTCCTTTCTAAAATTTTCTCATATACGTTTAAAGATATATTTTTTTCATTAATGTTGATGTAAAAATTTATAATTTTGCACCAAAAGGAATTTAGAAAACTTACCTAACCTTATTATAACAAGAACAATTTATTTTAGCCTAACCCAACTAAATATATTTTAGATTTGTTTACAATAATTTAATACTAAACAAACACAGTGAAATATATTTTTTTCGTTAGGTTCAGAATGATTTTGACGAAATTATTGCATACACAAATTTTCACTTGTCCTATATGGCAAGATGAGCGTTGCTATTTAAGCCAAGATCGCAAATTCTGCCTATTCGGCACGACATATATATATATATATTATATATATATATATATATATATATATATATATATATATATATATATATATGCACTCTGAAAGAAAAGAGAAATTCCAAGCGCTTTCGTGACTACTCACATTATCAAGGAACTATGAACTTAGTTACTTGATAATGTGAGTAGTCACGAAAGCGCTTGGAATTTCTCTATTCTTTCAGAGTGGTTGTTTTGCATATTTTGAAATCACCTGTTTACTGTGATCTTATTGCATATATATATATATATATATATATATATATATATATATATATATATATATATATATATATATATATATATATATATATATATATATATATTATATATATATATATATTATATATATATGTACGCAGAGATTATTTTATCCAATAAACCCATATCTAGGCTTAATGTATTCCTGAGTAGTGGTGTACAGATGATATACAGCCTTACTGACCCTCGTTTGTTAAGACTGTGAACCCAGTTAACAACCAACCGTATACCTGATGAAGTTAATTACGTTTTTACTAAAATATACAAATTAAATCAGTTTAATATTAAGTGCCAGCTGTGTCCATGAGGTTACCCATTTACTTGGTTAGAACAAATGATTTTCTGGGGATATCTATTATTATTATTATTATTAAAGATTAGCCGGTATTCTCCCGGCCCGGGCCTTTTCCAAGTGGTGGCCCGGCCTTGGCTCCCTCTTTAGGGAGTGTCTGAGACCTAAGTCTCCCATGGGAGGAGGCACAAGTACCTCCTCATCTTTGGGACCAACTATCCCCAGGCCTAGCCACAAGCTAGGCCTCTCTGGTCTGCCATCCCCGCCCCAAGGGGGCAAATGGGAATGACAGTCTTATGAGCTAAAGGCTCGGGCTCAGGCACCTACCCTACCCTAGAAGGACTGGGCATGGTGTCCATCTGGGGATATCTTTGGTTAGTTCCTATGATTTACAGATTTTATTATGTAGGTCAGTATCATACAATAGTATGGTATTACAGTAAGAAAAAGGGTATACAACATTGACACGATGATAAAGGAGACAACAGAATATATTATTGACGACTTTTTATCCACATAATGGGCTGAGAATATGTAGGGAAGCACACTGAGGTGAGGTATGTGGTATGGAGGTCATTGCAGTGGTGCGAAGTGGTCATATTATTGTAGTAGTATGAGGTGGTCATGTTATGGCAGTAATGTGAGGGGGTTGTGTCATTTCAGTGGTATGAGATGGTCATGTCACTGTAGTGGTAGTAGATGGTCATGTCACTGTAGTGGTGTGAGATGATCACGTCACTGTAGTGGTATGAGATGGTCATGTCACTGTAGTGGTATGAGACGATCATGTCATTATGATAGTGATTGTAGTGGTGTGAGATCGTTATGACTGGCGTGATGTGAGGTTTGCAGACCATTGTAATTGTCTAGAAGTTTAGAGTCTTGGCAAGAAACTCAACAACTGACAAGAGGTAATTCTAAGATTCTGCGTCTGGATGTCCTCTTGATAATGAGTAGTGCGCCATTTTTATTAATCAAACGGTTGTTTAATTAATAAAAATGGTTGAAACACAGGCATTATTCAAGTCGTCAGTTGTGCTAGTGTATTAGTGTTCGGAAATACATTTCTAGAGGTCTCTTGATGTTTCGGCTACGCATATTTTGTCACAATATATATTGTCACATCCTAGGAGTGGTATGGTTTTTTTTTTATCATAGTGGAGGCCGTGGTGGCTCCTTGTAATCTGGTGTTATAGAGAGTATTGGAGATATACTTGACAGTTCTTAGGGAGTGCCGCATAGCTTCGTTGGGTAGTGTCTTGTCTGAGTTAATGATGTTCTTGGTAGGTCTCCAGACACCTGCCCAGGAAGTGTCTCCAGACTCAGGGTTCATAAGAGAAGAATCTCAATACAATACACAGGCCTTCACAATCTTACACTTACTTCCCTACTTTATTCAAGGTTACAAGCATATTTGTGTTCTTGTGTACGTGTGAAAAGATTCTTTTGAGCTTTTGCTCTGAAGCTCTTGATGCATTTCCCCACATAGTATGATGTATACTCCTGTTTCACTTGCGTATATCAACAATCTTTCTTCCTGGTGAGGTCTTTGACGGAAGATGTGGCCATAGCAGAAATGCCGATGTTACTTCTCAAAAAGACGTTCACAATATTCTTGTGAAATTGTGGCAACAGTCGACAGGTAGTGATAAAAAGACTCGAGAAAACAGAGGACCCTTTATAACTAGAGAAACAATGATTCGTTCACATGTAGTGAACCTTGACTCACGAAATCGTAATGACACGATTGAAAACAAACCATACCACGGGCGGGATTTGAACCCGCGGTCAGTCTCAAAACTCCAGACCGTCGCGTTAGCCACTGGACCAGCTAGCCACAATAAGATTCATCCAACTAGGTATTTTTCTACACCATAGGAAGGTTAGCATAGGCACCACTGTGACCACAAATGCAAGTTTTTACAGACGAATCTCCAGCTAGCGTGGCCGTGACGAACTCTAGCTCAAGTCCCCTGAATGCCGTCAACATGACTCACGAAATAGTAATGACACGATTGCAAACAAACTATACCACGGGCGGGATTTGAACCCGCGGTCAGAGAGTCTCAAAACTCAAGACCGTCGCGTTAGCCACTGGACTTGAGCTAGAGTTCGTCACGGCCACGCTAGCTGGAGATTCGTCTGTAAAAAAAAAAAACTTGCATTTGTGGTCACAGTGCTGTCTATGCTAACCTTCCTATGGTGTAGAAATATACCAAGTTGGACGAATCTTATTGTGGCTAGCTGGTCCAGTGGCTAACGCGACGGTCTGGAGTTTTGAGACTCTCTGACCGCGGGTTCAAATCCCGCCCGTGGTATGGTTAGTGAACCTTCTCATGTGAATATCCCTTTTATCACTATATACATGTCTGCTCTTGACAAAATTTCACAGCAGTATTACGCAGGCCATTTTGAGAAATAACATCAGCATTTCTGCCGCGGCCATATCTTCCATCATTGACCTCATCAGAAAGTGAGATTTCTACGATACACGCAACAGTGAAGCAAAAGGATTCACCATACCATGTGGGGGGAAATGATGCAACAAGATAAACATTGGAGAGGAGCACATATAAGCTCGTAACCCTGAATAAAGTTAGGAGGGAAGTGTAAGCGTGAGAAAGCCTGAGTAATGTATTGGAATTCTATTGGAACCCGAGACTGGAGACACGGACTCTTTAGGTGCGAGTGTTGTGGGGTGAACAGAAATGAGTGTGGTCATCTTTATTTGTGTGATTCCTGTAGCTTGTAATTGGGGATCTGCATAAATGGTACATTAAAAAATGATAGTTTGCCTTCGTTTTCATTTCTTCATGCTACTCATACCATGGCACTCGTACCAAAAGATGCGTGATCATTGAGTATTTCCTTAGAGCTGTCCATATCTCCGGTCCCAAGTTCCTAGAAGAAGAATACCAGTACATTACTCAGAGCTTCACGTGCTTACACTTCCCTCCCTACTTAACAGAAGAGTGTAAGCGCAGGACAATAACTCATAGCAGGTATGGTCAAATCTTCCATCAAAGACCTCACCAGGAAGAGAGTGATCATTACGATATACACCATACCATGTAAGATACACAACAAGATCTTTTCAGGAGAAACTGACTGGAATCTTTCCACACGTGTTCAAGAACACAAATATACTTGTAACTAAGATGATACCAGCAACACTTGCATCGTACAAAGGACTAAAGAGAGCCATTTCATATACCGAAATAATGTAGAAATGATCTAAGAAGAACCCGACAATAGCTGCTACTTTTAACAGCCTTGAACAGAGGGCTGGCTTCCACTACATCTCCACAACTCTAGAACACATCATTCTGCTACATACTTACTCAAGGTTGCCACATAACATTGCGATTAGATGACCTTATGCTTTCACCTGACCATCATCTATGACTTTTGTTCTCCACTATATATAGCCATGTATTAACGTAAGTAAATTTACTTACATGATTCATTACCTTTGTAACTTGTGAGTTCATTACCTTTGTACCTTGTTCATTTATCAAAACTTTTGGGCCCAGTCCCTGGACCCATTATGTACCTCTGTAATCTGTAAATACCTTTGTAACTTGTCATGATTGTGACCAGATCTACCAGGAGTTCATTACCTTCGTAACTTGCTCAGCTATCAAACTTTGGGGCCCAGTCCCTGGACCCATTATGTACCTCTGTAATATTTTGACTACCGCCCACAGGATGGGTATGGGGTGCATAATAAACATTAAACTAAGTACCTATATACTATAACTGTATTTCCTCGTTCTCTTGCATAATTTGGAGTGGCCAAAGTCCCAAGATGGAAATGCATTCAGTAAAGTTGCCCTAAAGTGTGTGCAATGTTTTATAGTGTATATTTCTATACTATAGAAAACCAGGAGAATCGGAAAGATCAGGGGAGACATGATAAAAACATACAAAAAGCTTAGCGAAATTGATAAAGTGGACATGAGTAGGTTGCTCGAGAGGGCAACATGTGTTTGGGGGCACAGCTGGAGGTTAATGACACAGATGAGCCACAGGGATGTCAGGAAGTATTTCTTCAGTCGCAGGGTTGTCGGGAAATGGGATGACCATACCCCCGGCCGGGATTGAACCCGCGGTCATAGTCTCAAAACTCCAGCCCGTCGCGTTAGCCACTAGACCAGCTAGCCACAATAAGATTCATCCAACTAGGTATATTTCTACACCATAGGAAAGTTAGCACAGGCACCTCTGTGACCACAAATGCAAGTTTTTACAGACGAATCTCCAGCTAGCGTGGCCGTGACGAACTCTAGCTCAAGTCCCTTCACTGCCGTCAACATGACTCAAGAAATGGGATGACCTTGACGAAGGAGTGGTCGAGGCAGAGTTCATACGTAATTTAAGAACAGGTACAAAAGGGCTCTCCGTGTGTGAAACGAGACTAACTTATTTCCATTGGGGTCCTCAATCTTGTCCCCCAGGATGCGACCCACACCAGTTGATTAACACCTAGGTACCTACTTGCTGCTAGGTGAACAGGACATGTGTAAGGAAACGCGTCGAAATGTTTCCACACGTCGGGAATCGAACCCTGGCCCTCCGTGTATGAAGCGAGAGCTTTAGCCACCAGGCCACCGGGCGCCCACCACTGGTTTAAGAGCTAAGACTCGATCCCTGCAACCACATGAAAGTGAGCACATAGATGAGTGGTAAAAATGAGTCCCACTGTGATTACATGCAAATTTTATGGACCGATCACATTGGCTTTATTGTATTATCATAGGTCAGTCTACATAAAATATATGTTTGTACCCATAACAGATAACTGATGTGTACCTTCAAGGTTATTGTCAATTAAAAAAACTAATCTGTGTTTATTCTTAAAGCATCACTCTGTGAGAGTCCGGGTTCGATTCCCGGCGAAGGGGTGGAAACATCGGACGGGTTTCCTAATACCAGTTGTCTATGTTCACCCATCAGTAAAATGGGTTCCTTGGTGTTAGTGGACTGGTGTGGGTCGCATCCTGGGACAAAACTGACCTAATTTGCCCGAAATGCTCTGCATAACAAGGGACTTTCTATATAGTAGTATGTCATTGATGTCAGCTAGGACTTTATACCTTGTACCTGTACTTGTAGTAAACAAAGATATTTTTATTATATTATTAAATGTAATGCGGCAGTAAGTTGGTGTGACTCGCCCGCCATAGTGGCGTCTGGCTCCCCCTTCCCCTCCCCCCTACCCTCTCCTGTGTAAACAAACCTGATGGAGCTACTGTTTACCTGTTGCTGATAATTACTGTTGTGACCCCCTCCAGTAGGACTATGACCTAGGTAGGGATAACTGTTACTGTATTGAGCTCTGTTTTTCACATTGTCTGTGTTATAGTGAAAGTCTGTGTCTATGTTGTAAAGTGAGCGGTGCTAGACTAGGGTCAGGCTGGGATCCTGGCACTATGGATGAGTGGAAGAGGAAGCAGAGTAGTGTAGGTTATTTCTGTTAGGTCCTCCCTTATTTATCTGTTGCTAGACGACAGTGGCAGCACCCCTCAAGGTAGGTGCCTTGACTCAAGTGAACGACTTTTGATCCAAGGAATGTGATCTGACCTCCCTAGGATCGAATTTGATTGTCTCTTATTCCCCCAGGTGCTGTATGAGCCCTATGAGTTTGTTATTATTATAATCAAGGGGAAGCGCTAAACCCGTAGGATTATACAGCCCTATGGGTTTAGGAACTCTCTCCAGGTATTTCCAGGTATTACAGGCATGTTATAGCATGGATAGCAAGTGTTGTATGCTTGCACTCATTTTGCCCCATCTAGGATTCAACCTTGAATCCTAGATGTTCTAGTATGTCATTGATGTCAGCTAGGCCTGTATACCTTGTACATGTACTTGTAGAAATAAAGGTATTATTATTATTATTGATCCTCATAATTGTGAACTGAACGCTCTGTCACCGACCTACAAGATGTGGTCAAAGTTGCAATCTTCCACAAGTGGGTTCCCTTTTCTGATAATTTTTCTACACTAACATTTAACTTGTGCTTTTGCTGGCAACATTGTTGGTCTGAATTGGTGACCAGTGTGTTGTTTTTAATTAAGCCAAAATTGGTTGTCTAGCCATCCTCCCTCTGTTGCTGTCAATTGTGGGAAATATGTAGTACTCTCATAAATGCGCTTCATTCACCTGAGACATGCAACTGTTCTCACATAGGAGTGCCCAGGGCCTCTGGGGAAAATTGACAGGTGAAACTAATAGTCTATCATTTTTTGATACATTGTTCTTTTCATCGGAGAGCATTTTCAACTTCCTCTAAGGTGTCTCATAGCTTGGTTGGTAGCGCACTCATCTCACACACTGAGGTCTGTGGTTCGATCCCTGTTCACATAGTAATAAATAGGTACTTGGGTGTTAGCTGACTGGTGTGGGTTGCATCCTGGGAACAAAACCTAATTTACCTGAAATGCTCTGCATAACAAGGGGCTTTCTGTATAGAATGTCAGTGATGTCAGCTAGGTCTATATAAGTTGTATCATGTACTTGTAGAAATAAAGATTATTATTATTATTATTCTCAACCTCATCAGTATCCTGACATGCTTACTCTCTGTCCTACTTTCTGAAAGCCCAACATTTAATGCAGATTCCCTCTGACTTTTTAATTGAAACCGATATAGTGCACCATCCTTTTGCCAATTCACCTTCTACATTTCCCCTTTTAGCTACTTTGAATGCCAGAAATACTTTGGTCATGTAGTGATGAATGACTCTTGGATTTATTATTTTACATAACTGCTATATAATAATCACATAGAGTAATTGAAACTATTTCATTGCGATTTATTTATAGCTTGTTCCTTATATGAATATTCTTGCTATACTATAAAGTTTTTTATTTCATGTTTTAATTATCTTTATAAAATTAAGGCTGTAGTTGAAATACACAGATGAAATATCCTTTCCATCCAGAATTAAAATACAACAAATAAAGAGATTTTTTAATTCAGCTCAAAATGTCCAAGAATGAAGTAGTATACGTATATTATTCAAACTAAAGTGTGGTTTTCATCCTTATTGTTTAGCATAATTAACCCGTAAACGGTCCAAAGGTATATGTACGTTTTTTCAACATTTGATAGTATGTAAAAAAAAGTAGCTCCTTTTCTTTTTTTTTTTTTTACATTTGAAAACGTGTAAAAAAACTTTGATCTACTTTTTTTTTGTTATATTTGAAAATATTTAAAAAAAACATAGATCTACTTTTGGAGCACTATGCATGTGAACGTAGATCTGCTTGGACCGTTTACGGGTTAAGGCTCAAATCCTTATTTGCTGATGAAGTAATGTTCAATAGTTCCAGAACAAAATAAATTATTTTTTTTGCAGATAACTACAGAAATAATGATAACTAATAGTGATAGAGCTGTGAGGACAAGAGAAAATAATGCAGAGGGCAATGATGAAGATCTAAACTCAGAAAACTATTTTCTGGAGGTTCGTGTCCCACATTCGGCAGCTGCAAGTGAATTACCAACTGTGAATTCACTGGATACTAGTGGAGATGGATTCTTTTCTCAGGAGGTATCAACTTTTCATGTTTTTCAATATCTTTCTTTAATCACTTTTATAATTAAATAAACTCTCTTTTGTATACAAAAGAATGGTGTGGACTGTGGATTCTGAGTGCACATAATGTGGATATCATCATACAGTGGCCTTCAGATGCATGATAGACCTGATAAATTGGCAAAGGTATATGCCTTCAGGGAGGGAGGTCATTACAACCTTGGGTTATTGACTAGAAGTTTGAGGACAATAGTTCAAAAAGAACTTCAATTGAACTTCACTAATTTGAGACTGAGGGAGGTTGACAGTAGGCCCATCTATCATCATTCTGTCATGCAGGAGGAGCCACATGTCTGTGTGCATCCAACAAAATCTGCACTCTTGAAATTCACTACATCCTGGCTTTGGCTAGGTAGTAAGTACAGTGGACCCCCGCTTTACGATCACCTCCCAATGCGACCAATTATGTAAGTGTATTTATGTAAGTGCGTTTGTACGTGTATGTTTGGGGGTCTGAAATGGACTAATCTAATTCACAATATTCCTTATGGGAACAAATTCGGTCAGTACTGGCACCTGAACATACTTCTGGAATGAAAAAATATCGTAAACCGGGGGTCCACTGTATATACTTATGGAGTATGCACCACCAACTGACGTAGAAATAGTTAAATGCAAACTTTGCCAGATGAACTATAATTACACCCTGCATCATCATGTGCTGGAATGTCCCCCCAAAAAAAAATCTTGAATTCAGAGACAACTCATTCATATTCTGGAAAAAATACCCTAACTTTGTCTGTTGTAAATAACTCATAACAATTTAAGCTTGTCTAAATTCAACCATACCTTGTTAACCCTTAAACTGTCCAAATGTAGATTTACGTTTGCACGTGTAGCACTCCGAACGTAGATGTACATTTTTTTTCACATTGTTTCTCATGGAGAAAATCAAGGTCGGAGCGCTACGCATGCAAACGTAGATCTACGTTTGGACAGTTTAAGGGTTAAAATAGTATAAATAATTTAAAACTTCATATAAACTTCACTGTAATGTTTTTGTGACTGAATTCATGTCTGTATTAACAACTTGTTGTGAGTGTGACCTGATCATAAACTTGTAAATTGTTCATTATTTTGGGGTCCATTTTTTAACGAATGTCTGTAATCTTTAGACTACTGCCAGTAGGATGAGTATGGGGTACACAATAAAGCTATCAAACTATAAGAAGAGTAAAGATTCCTCAGTGAAGCTATATATATATGTAGACCATTGTCCTCTTAAATAAGTTTTCATTAACACTTGAATTATCACATTATTCCAGTACTCTAATGCTCAAATATTTTCTCTTCTGTTCTGAATGTTTCGTATGTTTAGATATTTAGTAACTGTTCTTAGAATCTTTATTGCAGCTGTTTTTATGTCATACTAGTAGTTGCCTTTACATCAACTTATTAATTCTGTTTTTAATTTTTCCTGTAAATCGAAGTTTGTTTAGTACAGTGTAACTCTTTAATTTTTAAGATAGTTTATATGTATTAGATATTGCATTTTATAGTCTGCCTATATACTGCATATTACTGTATTTTGTCAACAGAAATTTTTTTCTTTCAGGCAGTATTGATTACAGAATGTGATGGAGAATCATATAATACAGATGCCACACTACACTTCTGTAGACGAAGAATACTGAAACCTCGTGATGCTGTCTGTACCCTCTTAGGTATGACAAAATGTCCTTACAAATCTGAAAACAGGAAATTAGCATGAGGAGAAAGAAACCTGAAAAGGAAAGGCACAAGAGTCAGAAAAGGGTATGAGAAACATTGATAAAGGTACGAAGGATGATTCAGATAGGGTAGATTGGAATCTGAATAAAGGTCACTTATATTTTTTCATCAGTACAAAAGTTCAGATGATTTAGTTAATGTCACAGCAAAGATATAAATCCATTGGGTCCTTCGGTCTTCTAGGATGCCACCTACAACAGGCGAGTATCTGTTTGCTGCTAGGTGAACAGCGGCATCAGAAGTTAGAAAACTAGCCCATAATTTCTACCACTGAGTTAAGAGGTCAGTTACTTTTTCATCAAGCGTGGGTTATGTTCCTGAAAATTACCATGTTATGAAAAATAACATTTCGTGAAATGAAGATAATATAGGGAAAATAGGGTTTTATTCCTAACACCTCTAAATTAACAAACACTTTTCTTAATATTGTTCAGGGTTTTAAAAAGCACTGCAATTTATCTTACCTTACATTCTAGTTATGATTATCAACATGGAAGAGTGTGGAGATGGTTGAAGTTGCCCTACTGGGCTTAGGTGAATGATTTTGATTCTTGTATTGATTCAGAGTTGCTAGTAGTAGATGGTTGTATTGAAATATAAACACATATGTGTAGAAAGAGATTTGGTAATAAGTAATACATATTTTATGAAAAAGAGGATAAATAAATATACAAGTATGATGTAGCACGTAATGAAAGTAGTTTAGTTAGATTATGTATTGGTGGATAAAAGGTTGATGGGTAGGCTCCAGGATGTATATGTTTATAGAGGGGCAACTGATATATCGGATCATTATTTAGTTGTAGCTACAGTTAGAGTAAGAGGTAGATGGGAAAAGAGGAAGGTGGCAACAACAAGTAAGAGGCTTATGAGAGGTTTTTACAAAGCAGAAGTATTATAAAAGCAGAGTATATGGAGTAAATGAAAGGTAAAGAGAGTGGTGGGAGAGTGAAAAGGAGAGCAGATGATAGAGTGGGAGAGGCATGTCAAGAAAATTTTAATGAAAATAAGAAAAAATTTTGGGGAGAGTTTTAAAACAAGTTTAAGAAAGCCTAGGAAAGTAAAGATAGGCAAGAAAACGTAGGGGCAAAGGAGGGGAAGGGGAAGGAGTCGAGAATATTTTGAACTTTAAAATTAAGGAAAAACATGGAGGCGTAAATCATAGAAAGCAGGGAAGTATACTTCCTTTAGGAGATGAAGAGAGCGAGATTAGTGATGGGGGAGGGAGGTTGAGGGTCGAAATTGAAACGTTAAAGTAGGAAGAAACAGAGGAGTAATTAGACAGAAAGTTAAAAGCAGGGGGGAATTTTTTGGAGTGAGAGGTGTACTTTTGTTGAATAAATGTAGAAAGGATTGTAAAATACAGGGATTGGCAGAAGCATGTGATCCCGTTGATAAGAAAAATGTTAAAAGAAGGGGAATAAGTGTTGGATGTGGTATATCAGTTAAAAAGTTATGGAGGGGATAGAATTGAAGAATTGAGAGGTAAAATAATCCGTTAAGAAGGGAAAAGAGGTTTCAAAGTGAGGAATAAGTTTAGTATACAGGTAATTGAATAATTAAAGAATTAGAAGGTAAGAAATTTAAGGTTGGGAACTAGGAGTTTCAGAGTCGGTAGGTTAGAAAGGTAGATAAGAGTTTACTTGAAGCATATATGTGACAGATTTAGATAAATGGTGGGAAGTTTTATTGCATTTATGATTAGAAAAGGCATATGATAGAGTGGATTAAGAGGGCAATTGTGCAGATGTTGCAAGTATATGAATAGGTGGTAAGTTACAAATGCTGTTAAGAGTTTTTATGAGGATAGAGGCTCAGGTTAGGGTGTGTAGAAGAGAGGGAGACTACTTCCCGGTAAAAGTAGGTCTTAGACAGGGATGTGTAATGTCACCATGGTTGTTTAATATATTTTTAGATGGGGTTGTAAAGGAAGTAAATGCTAGGGTGTTCGGGAGAGGGGTGGGATTAAATTTTGGGGAATCAAATTCAAAATGGGAATTGACACAGTTACTTTTTGCTGATGATACTGTGCTTATGGGAGATTCTAAAGAAAAATTGCAAAGGTTAGTGGATGAGTTTGGGAATGTGTGTAAAGGTAGAAAGTTGAAAGTGAACATAGAAAAGAGTAAGGTGATGAGGGTGTCAAATGATTTAGATAAAGAAAAATTGGATATCAAATTGGGGAGGAGGAGTATGGAAGAAGTGAATGTTTTCAGATACTTGGGAGTTGACGTGTCGGCGGATGGATTTATGAAGGATGAGGTTAATCATAGAATTGATGAGGGAAAAAAGGTGAGTGGTGCGTTGAGGTATATGTGGAGTCAAAAAACGTTATCTATGGAGGCAAAGAAGGGAATGTATGAAAGTATAGTAGTACCAACACTCTTATATGGGTGTGAAGCTTGGGTGGTAAATGCAGCAGCGAGGAGACGGTTGGAGGCAGTGGAGATGTCCTGTTTAAGGGCAATGTGTGGTGTAAATATTATGCAGAAAATTCGGAGTGTGGAAATTAGGAAAAGGTGTGGAGTTAATAAAAGTATTAGTCAGAGGGCAGAAGAGGGGTTGTTGAGGTGGTTTGGTCATTTAGAGAGAATGGATCAAAGTAGAATGACATGGAAAGTATATAAATCTATAGGGAAAGGAAGGCGGGGTAGGGGTCGTCCTCGAAAGGGTTGGAGAGAGGGGGTAAAGGAGGTTTTGTGGGCAAGGGGCTTGGACTTCCAGCAAGCGTGCGTGAGCGTGTTAGATAGGAGTGAATGGAGACGAATGGTACTTGGGACCTGACAATCTGTTGGAGTGTGAGCAGGGTAATATTTAGTGAAGGGATTCAGGGAAACCGGTTATTTTCATATAGTCGGACTTGAGTCCTGGAAATGGGAAGTACAATGCCTGCACTTTAAAGGAGGGGTTTGGGATTTTGGCAGTTTGGAGGGATATATTGTGTATCTTTATATGTGTATGCTTCTAAACTATTGTATTCTGAGCACCTCTGCAAAAACAGTGATAATGTGCGAGTGTGGTGAAAGTGTTGAATGATGATGAAAGTATTTTCTTTTTGGGGATTTTCTTTCTTTTTTGGGTCACCCTGCCTCGGTGGGAGACGGCCGAGTTGTTGAAAAAAAAAAAATGCAGTATAATGTGATCCTTTATTGACAATGTTTCGCCTACACAGTGGGTTTTTTCAAGTCACCAACAGATCTACCTGGGGTGGAAGATTTTAGACTATAACCCCACTCGGTAGATCATCAGATGCAGCATTCTCCACCTGACCACAGCATTCTGAACCTGACTATAAATACTCGCGTACCTTCCATCCCAGGTAGATCTGTTTGTGGCTTGAAAAAGCCCACTGTGTGGGTGAAACGTTGTCAATAAAGGATCACATTATACTGCATATGTGTTTATATTTCCATTGTGTCGGTATTTTATACCATTTATTTCCATGGTTGTATTGAGTTCTTATATTTTATGTAATAAATCTCTGATCTGTTTTACTCCTGTGGCACTTTATAGAGCTGACCATAAGGCACTTGCCTGCTGCTCCTGACCCTGGTTTGGAACAGTGCTTCTAGACTTGTCAGAGTCTGCAACTTTACCAGTAACATGGAATTGCTCTCATAACTCCTTCAGTGTTAACTGTTTATCTTCAGGTTCTTTCTCATCCTCTTCTGTTATTTTCCTCTCATTCCTGGGAATTAAGCTACTTCATCAGTTTTTCTGCATTCATGCAACTAGTTTAATCCTTAAACTGTCCAAACGTAGATCTACGTCCACGTGCGGGGGGGGCTCCAAATGTAGATCTACGTTTTTTTTTTTTTTGCATGCTTGCAAATGGAGAAAATCAAGGTCGGAGCACTACGCACGCGAACGTAGATCTATGTTTGGACAGTTTAAGGGTTAAGGAGACTTGCTCATATGCCTTGTCCTTCCTGGGAATCAGATCTAAGTCCCTTTGATTATGAGCTACAGGTTACTATGCAAATCTCATGATTGTCCCTAAAGGTCTGTGGCCCATGTGTACTGTACAAGGTTATCAATGATAAGTACAGATTTGTGTAATGCTGTACTGAGGAGCTCCAGTGAATATCTATCTATTTCATCATTTAACTAGGCATATTTTTAATAAGAAGGGATGAATTTTTATTTTTTTAGGTGGTTTTACTTAACCAGTATGCAGAATATTAGTTTAAATGTTCAAGGATATTCTTTGATATGAAATTCTAATTATTCTGTTGAATGTTGCAGGATATCGTTCATGGATTAAAGACAGCGCTGACCAGTGTTCATGTATGAAGGTCTTCAATTTTGCATATTTTATCTTCTTCTTCCTTGGCCTCTGCATAGGACCTGTTCTGCAGTACAACATCTGTCTTAAGTAAATTTGCTTGGCCCTTTAGTTTTTTGACAAATATCTAAGCGTATTAAAAAAGTGTGATATTTAATCTTGCTCAATTGACTCATAAAAATTGCTTACACATCTTGAAGTAATGCCTGTGTAGTACTACATTACGCACTTTTATAGATTGCTTTACTATTTAGCGTCCTTTGAAGAATTCAGTTCACTTCATGTAAATCTTTCATTCTCTCTCTCTCTCTTTGACTCTCTTACTCCCTCCTCCTTTGTCCCAGCTTAAACTTGTACTGCATTTTTTTTATTTTTTTCAAATAGTCATTCACAAGTACTGTACTTTTATAACAATGTCTAGATTTTTCTTTTTTTCAACAAACTGGCCATAACCCACCAAGGCAGGGTGACCTCAAGAGAAAAACAAAAGTTAAAAAAAAAAAATGCAAGTTTTTCTTTTTTAAATTTAGTAATTTATTCAGGAGAAGGGGTTACTAGCCCCTTGCTCCCAATACGTAGATATTCAGTTCAATAATAGTTGGACGAGGTTTTTTTACAAGTCACTTTTAATGCATTTATTAAACCACATATTTAGTATATGAATACAGAGTAAAAGTTTAGTATATTTAAAGAATGATGTAGAGCTCAGTTTTCTCTTATCCTTATTTTTTTTCCAGAAGAGATCAGGGAGTAGGAAATGAAGTGTTACTGATTTCTGAAAATTTGACTTCTTATGGTAAGCTAATTATTTTTTTCCTCTCTTTAATAGTTTATCAGTTCTGTGTACTTGATGCATGACATTTATTTGTGAATAATATTTATTACTTTTTCTCCATGGGGAAGTGGAACAGAATTCTCCCTCCATAAGCCATGCGTGTTGTAAGAGGCGACTAAAATGCCGGGAGCAAGGGGTTAGTAATCCCTTCTCCTGTATACATTACTAAAGTTAAAAAGAGAAACTTTTGTTTTTCTTTTTGGGCCACCCCGCTTCAGTGGGATATGGCTGGTTTGTTGAAAGAAGATTTATTACTTTTCAGTTGTTTTAAAACTCAGAAATTCAATTATGAAAAGTATGAAGGGAGTGAAGTGATCATTGATGGCAGGTGTTACCATAATGAAAGGACATTGTTGCTTTTAATAATGCTGTGATGTGTATAATAATGCTCTGATGTGTATTATGAATTGATGCTTCAAGATGGCAAAAGTAGTTAGCCATACATTATGAAGTGTATTAATTCTTATTAATTCAGGAGAGATATGTATTTAAGGAATAAAATGACAGTGTTGAATCTATAGACTTACATATTACCAGTATACATCAGTGCTGAGAAGTCACCAAAAACTCGTACTTAGGAGAGGAATCTTAGGGTGACAGTTCAATCCATCCTGAACCATTGATTTGATAATGGTCCAGGATAAACTGAAAAGTTGTCATGAAACTCCTCTCCTAAGTTCAGATTTTTGGCAAATTTTTCTAGCCATGGTATAAAGATTTTTTATTCTCACTGCTGATAATTCTAGAGTTTTTCTTCTTTTTTTTTTTTTCAACAAGTTGGCCGTCTCCCACCAAGGCAGAGTTATTAGTTGTAATTAATCTGATACTTGTTTTTAATTATTGATTGTATGGAGCAGGATTGATAATTATGTTTCCCTTTTCAGATGACGGAGACAGTCACTGGTGCTCTGGGAGCTTGGTCTTTGTATACATCATTCCCAGCATGATGTTTTATCTGGCATATTTAGTAACATGTATTATCCTGAGACTAGGTGAATCAGAACATCTGCAAACATTATTAGAAAGGGTATGTTGAGATTTAAACATCTGATTTTGATTTTTTCTATTTCTAGCTTGCTTCTTCCATATTACCAGTCCTGTACATAGGTGAATCTGTGATTTTTTATATACAGTAAAAATATTCTTTTTTTAACACATTGGCTGTTTCCCACCAAGGCAGGGTTTCCAAAAAGAAAGAAAAACCCCAAAAGAAAGAAAAAACTTTCATTATCATTTGACACTTTCACCATCACTCATACATAATCACTGTCTTTGCAGGGTCACTCAGATATATGATATCAGATTGGAGGGAGAGAGTATGGAGGAGGTGAATGTATTCAGATATTTGGGAGTGGACGTGTCAACGGATGGGTCTACGAAAGATGAGGTGAATCATAGAATTGATGAGGGGAAAAGGGTGAGCGGCACACTTAGGAGTCTGTGGAGACAAAGAACTTTGTCCTTGGAGGCAAAGAGGGGAATGTATGAGAGTATAGTTTTACCAACGCTCTTATATGGGTGTGAAGCATGGGTGACGAATGTTGCAGCAAGGAGAAGGCTGGAGGCAGTGGAGATGTCATGTCTGAGGGCAATGTGTGGTGTGAATATAATGCAGAAAATTCGTAGTTTGGAAGTTAGGAGGAGGTGCGGGATTTCCAAAACTGTTGTCCAGAGGGCTGAGGAAGGGTTGTTGAGGTGGTTCGGACATGTAGAGAGAATGGAGCGAAACAGAATGACTTCAAGAGTGTATCAGTGTGTAGTGGAAGGAAGGCGGGGTAGGGGTCGGCCTAGGAAAGGTTGGAGGGAGGGGGTAAAGGAGGTTTTGTGTGTGAGGGGCTTGGACTTCCAGCAGGCATGTGTGAGCGTGTTTGATAGGAGTGAATGGAGACAAATGGTTTTTAATACTTGACGTGCTGTTGGAGTGTGAGCAAAGTAACATTTATGAAGGGATTCAGGGAAAGCGGCAGGTCGGACTTGAGTCCTGGAGATGGGAAGTACAGTGCCTGCACTCTGAAGGAGGGGTGTTAATGTTGCAGTTTAAAAACTGTAGTGTAAAGCACCCTTCTGGCAAGACAGTGATGGAGTGAATGATGGTGAAAGTTTTTCTTTTTTCGGGCCACCCTGCCTTGGTGGGAATCAGCCAGTGTGTTAATAAAAATAAAATAAATGTATCTGAAATCACAATAAGCAGAGTATATTGTGTAAAATTTAAAAAGAAATACCTTCATTTTTCTCTTTAGGTCACCCTGCCTCTGGGGGATATGGCCAGAAGAAGAAAATAAAAATATTGTGTACAAAATGTCATTGCATTAATATAATTTTGTGGGTGCAATAACAGCATACATTATGATTTAACAGTTATAATGTATTAATTTTCTATGTTTGTTCTGTTTATATTATTGACACATCACTAATCATATACATGTATGTATATATTGTCCTTAGGGTATTTGGTAATGGATGTTATAACTCTTTGATGAGAAGAGGCTTACCATACCTGATATATACCATGTTTATCTTTACTTTCCTTATGTGCATCTTCATTTATACTTGTGTATACCTCTTTTACCCAAGCATTCATATTCATGCCTTTCACTTGAGTTGCAGGCCTTTTATTTATTGTATTAAACCTGACAGACTTAGCTACTATATCTATCAGTTTTAACACTGACTTTTATTTACCATAACTAGAAATAAAACTCATTCATAAAGAAAAAAAAATTACAATACATTGGGTAGAATAGTTCACTATCATCCCACAGTCTGCAAAGGAAAATAGATGATGTTTTCGTCTGTCCTTTTTGATTATCAAGTCATGCCCCTTTCAGGTTTAGTGCTTAACTTGATTCTAACAATAATAATAATAACAAAAGTAACAATATCAAGTCATGACTTAATAATGGCTCAAGATGGACTAAAATGTTGTCCATAGTTTCTTCTCCAAATTCTGTGTTATTGGTGAAGAACCATTATGGTTGTTTAATATATTTATAGATGGGGTTGTAAAAGAAGTAAATGCTAGGGTGTTTGGGAGAGGGGTGGGATTAAATTATGGGAAATCAAATACAAAATGGGAAGTGACACAGTTACTTTTTGCTGACAATACTGTGCTTATGGATGATTCTAAAGAAAAATTGCAGAGGTTACTGGACGAATTTGGGAATGTGTATGAAGGTAGAAAGTTGAAAGCGAACATAAAAAAAGAGTAAGGTGATGAGAGTATCAAATGATTTAGATAAAGAAAAATTGGATATCAAATTGGGGAGGAGGAGTATGGAAGAAGTGAATGTTTTCAGATATTTGGGAGTTGACGTATCAGCGGATGAATTTATGAAGGATGAGGTTAATCATAGAATTGATGAGGGAAAAAAGGTGAGTGGTGCATTGAGGTATATGTGGAGACAAAGAACGTAATCTATGGAGGCAAAGAAGGGAATGTATGAAAGTATAGTGGTACCAACACTCATATATATGGGTGTGAAGCTTGGGTTGTAAATGCAGCAGCGAGGAGGCAGTTGGAGGCAGTGGAGATGTCCTGTCTAAGGGCAATGTGTGGTGTAAATATTATGCAGAAAATTCGGAGTGTGGAAATTAGGAGAAGGTTTGGAGTTAATAAAAGTATTAGAAAGGGTTGGAGGGAGGGGGTAAAGGAGGTTTTGTGGGCGAGGGGCTTGGACTTCTAGCAAGTGTGCGTGAGCGTGTTAGACAGGAGTGAATGGAGACGAATGGTATTTGGGACCTGACGAGCTGTTGGAGTGTGAGCAGGGTAATTTAGTGAAGGGATTCAGGGAAACCGGTTATTTTATATAGCCGGACTTGAGTCCTGGAAATGGGAAGTACAATGCCTGCACTTTAAAGGAGGGGTTTGGGATATTGGCAGTTTGGAGGGATATGTTGTGGATCTTTATATGTACAGTGGTCCCTCGATAATAGTCGGGCTCGATAGTCATCCTTTTCGGAAATCGCTGCGTTATTTTAGTCCAACCATTGGCTTACAAATGGTCGGTTGACTCGCTAATCGTCGTTTGCCCTGGACGCATACTCTTGACTCTGAGCCACCTCGGCCTCCCTTCCCAGCCAGTGTGCCATTGTTTACCAGTGAGCGACAGTCCCTTAAGTGTTCATACGAAATATTTCATAATATTCCATTCATTTTAGTGCTTGCAGGTGCTAAATAAGCTACCATGGCTCCAAAGAAAGCTCCTAGTGCCAAGAAGGTGAGAAATACGATTGAATTTAAGAAAAACATCATTGAACAATATGAAAGTGGCCTTCGTGTGGCCGAACTGGCTAGGATGTATAACAAATCCCGTACAACCATATCTTCCATCGCAGCCAAGAAAAAGGAAATCGAGGAAGCTGTTGTTGCAAAGGGTGTAAATATGCTGACAAAAATGAGATCACCAGTACTCAAAGAGGTTGAGAAGTTATTATTAGTGTGGATAAACGAGAAGGAGGAAGGAGGAAGGAGGAGGAAGAGAGATGGAATAAGGTGCCTTCTTCAGAAATTAAGGAGATTTTTGAAATGTGGGGTAGGATGGAAAGATTTCTGGAGAAACATCACCCTGAGAAGGATATTGCAAGCCATATCGGCAACTTGTACAGTGACAGAGTCTTGGCCCATTTTAGGGAAGTTTTAGAGAGATGCCAGAAACAGAGCTCTCTGGACACTTTTTTTGTGAGACAGGACTCCAGTGACTCTCAAGCTGGTCCTAGTGGCATTAAGAAATAGAAGAGAAGTAACTCCAGAAAAGGACTTGGTACCTAAGGTATTCTGGGCACCTCTGCAAAAACAGTGGTTATATGTAAGTGAGGTGAAAGTGTTGAATGATGATGAAAGTATTTTCTTTTTGGGGATTTTCTCTCTTTTTGGGTCACCCTGCCTCAGTGGGAGACAGCCGACTTATTAAAAAAAATATATATAATTTTTTTGATATACCTGCACTCTGAAGGAAGGGTGAGGATATTCTTATTTTGAAGGGCTGTCTGAACTGTGATGTCAGTACACTTCTGGCAAAACAGCGATTGAAAGAGTGACAGTGATTGTTTTTTCTCATTTTTGGGGGCGGGAGATTACTCTCCTGCCCCAGTGGGAGACAATCATTGTGCAAAAAAACATAAAAACACTTATGACTATGATCCAAGATGGGCTAAGACACACACATTGTTGCAGGTCTATCTGTTAGCATCGTGTTCACCATGGGAACTAGTGAAGCAGCGTCGTCTCTGGTGTATTTTTGTGATGTGGCTGTTGCTGGGGGTCACATGTTTGATCTTATCCCTCGCTTCTATGATACTGCATATTTTTGCTGCAACACATATTTCATACACCTTCATACATCCTCAGTAAGTATTTGGTTATCCAACAAAGTGTTTCCACTTTATTGCTAGTAACATTTCCATCTCAGATTTATATTTTAGTTTTATACAATAATGCTGGTATTCGGAAGTTCAAAAAGAAAATTTTTGAAGTAAATTTCATGGACCAGGCCATGTGGGTGTTGACCCCTGGAACACCCTTCAGGTATACTCCAGGCATGTATACTGTATACATGCACTGTACGTAGTAAATTTGTTCTAATTTTTTTTTTTATGACATTTTTCCCAAATGAGTTTCTGGTTAATATAAATTTGAGTCCCTTCAGATTATCTGGATGCCAGCAAAGGGCTGTTGATCCATGAAATTAGATTACTCTTCCCTTTTCTGGACTGAAATTGATTGTCTCCCATTCAACCACTTCCCAGATGTGTGACACTTATGCATTTAGTGCTCTCTTGTGAATGTATTGATAATAATATAAATCTTGGTATTTATGAGTACTGTATTCCTTTATGAGAGATGAACAATACAGGTTCAGGATGTCCTTGCATCTCAACTTTTCTTTTGTTATAAATATATTCACCTTTTGCTATAAGAGTACTCATTGTTTGTTATAGGTGTGCTTTCATGTTTTTTATTATTAACCCTTTGACTGTTTCAGGCCCCTTTCTGAAACTGTCATTCTATGTCGCTAAATTTTTGAAAAAAAAAAATTATTTTTTCTTATGAAATGATAATCTTTTCCCGATGGTAATGACACCAAAAGTTCGAAATTTGGTCGAAAAACTCATGGAATTACGCTCCCGCAAAGTTAGCGGTCTCAGCGACATATGCGTATCGGCGATTTCGCCGACTTTGAGCCCTATTTTCAGCCAATTCCGTTTTTCCAGTTGACCAAACTCATAGCTATTTCTTTAGAACTCCATTTTATCTATCAGCTGAGTACAAGAAACCGCCCATTTACCAATTTGGACTACCCAATATTGTGGTCAGAAATTGGCAATTTGGCCAATTTCACGCAAACTAAAAAAGATGCCAATTTCAAAATAGGGTCCAGAATAAACAAGGTAGACATTCTTGGCACTAAAATAACATATCCTCTGTTCATTAGTCACATCTCTAGGCCCCTCTTATATTATTATTGCTTTCTATTTTGATTTTTTATTCATACAAAAAAATACAAAATTTACTGTTATGCAGACTACTGCATTATTGTAAAAATGGTATAAATAATATCAGTGCACTAGTGAAAGAATATTAGACTCCCCAGTTGACGTGTATTGGACGTGTGGTGTGATTTGTTTACTCTTGAACATTGGTAAAAATCGAACATTTCCGCTACTTTGAGCTCAGTTTCAAGGTCATTTTCATCATCAAAGTAATGAAAATCATCTCTATTTCTGTAATATGTTTTCCATTTTATCACCTAAGACCATGAAAACGCAAATACATCAATAAATACTATACGAAAATACACCTCAAAGTCGGCGTTTTAATCCAAAAAAACGATCAGAGTTTTTTTTTTCTCATTATGCACTGTGTGCTGCAGGATTTTTTTTATGTGGTGCACACTGACCACACAGACCCATTCTCTCACATGTAGGCCTACCAGCTTTCTTCCGCTTGATTTGAAGCCGCTAGAATTATTAAGTATATATACGTCTGAAACACTGGCTCGTAAGACGTATATATACAACCAAAACAGTCAAAGGGTTAACACACTGGCCGATTCCCACCAAGGCAGGGTGGCCCGAAAAAGAAAAACTTTCACCATCATTCACTCCATCACTGTCTTGCCAAAAGGGTGCTTTACACTACAGTTTTTAAACTGCAACATTAACACCCCTCCTTCATTTTATTTTATGCATATTAATAATGGAAAGGAATCTCTCCATAATCATAAGATGTAATTAAAATGCTGGGAGCAAGAGGTTGATAACCCCTTCTCCTGTACAAAGTACTAAATGCAAGAAGAAGGTAAACTTCATTGTTTTCTTCTTTTTTGGGTCACCCTTATTTGGTGGGAGACAGCTGGTATGTTAAAAAAATAAATAACAATTGCCAAGTTCAGAAGGTCATTTGAGTTGTGATATTCATGTAATTCTGGCAAGACAGCTAGTGAACGGATGATTGGTAATTGTTTCTTTTTTGTGCATGAGGAGGAGGAGGTCACCGAACCATGAAATCAAATTTAAATTAATTTTTTATTGCTTATTAGTCATACATTTGAATTGGTTGGAGATGGCCAGTGTGGTAAAAAAAAATGCCAAGTGATTACAACATATGGAGGAAATTCTTTCGATATACTTGTTCTGTGGACTATAAACTCACTTATTTGGATTAATGGGAGCTAGAACCCTTGAGCGAATTTGTGTTTGTTTCGCTGATTTTTTAACGTAATAATTTTGTTTAAAAACTAGTAAATTAAATGCAAGTCATCATGTCACTGCATGTTTTTAACTAAAAAAAATTATTCCACAAGACCAGACACTAAACAGTGGATTTTTTCAGAATCACTTCAAAGTAATCATCCAGAATTTTTAGTTGAATAACATTATGGAACAAATTTCCGGTACCTTTGTAAAATTCTCCAGGTACTGTACTATGACAGTGACTTCACCCTCCTGTCAGCAAACTGCAGAATTATTTGTTATTATTGTCTTCATGTGGAAGCATAAACCTTTGTGGATAATGCAGCACCTGACAAGCCATTGGAAAACAAAAGGATGATTTGATACAGTTTCAGGTATTGACTCAAAAGTCATTAAGCATACATTAAAGAAATCCATTTCAATTTTGCAGCGAATAGTATTTTTCATATTGTACTCATTTCACATGCTTTATTTTACTGCACTTCATATGTATCAGGAAAATATTTATAACTTGGTATTTTCTGAAATATTATAGAAGTAAAACAGAGGCAATACTCCTGTGTGCTGGTGCATTAGGATCACTGTGGTTGGGAGATGTCGTGGTGGTGATGGGCGTGCTGTTGTACTGTACACAATGTCACTTACTCTCCAGGCTTCTTGACATCATCAGAACGACATTATATCAGGGTACAACTTCACTTATGGGTATCAAAAAGGTAATTTATATTTTTTTTTCACTGCATACAATAAGACAGATCACCTTGATTCCTGACAATACTATCTTTATTGTGGATTGTGGCACCAATAAATACAAATATCCCACAAAGCCTTTTCCCTCTCATATACCAACAGTACTAATGTTGTATATATTTCTAGCTCTCAGTAGTAAGCATACAAGAGGAATCAATCCTGTGCCATGTGTTGCATTGAAGGATAAGAGTCTGGTGCACCAGAAATTTGCTTCATTATATCAGGCATTCAGCCATAATTTATTTCAGACATCTCCAGAACATTACAAAACTTCTACAGTACGTACATACAAAAAGAAGCCTAATTAACTGTTTTATCATGTGCAAAAAATTTGGTACACCAGGTTCAATGTGTCACAGATATGACTACACTCTTCCAACAACTATACAGTACAGTAATAGAAACAGAGCATGCAAGGACACTTTAAGAGGTCTTGTCCTAGGATACTCAGCATACATACAGATAATGCACTTCACTTTAGCATTATTTAGAGTCCATATAATAAAATCAGTCTCAAAATTTAATTGTTAACACTTTTTATGCATGAGTTTTCTATATTATCCTGAATTATTAGTATATATAGAATTCAGGAGGAATATATTTTAATGAAGTGTTGCCTGAAAATAGGAAGAGATGCTCAGAAAAATTACAAAGTGGTTGTAGAGTTAGTTGAAAAGTTCTTGGCTTGCAACTTGAAAGTACAGTATTTTCTTTATTAGTGCTGCTTACAGTGCAGCAGTCTGAATAATCTGTTCAGTGATGGAGTGTGTGATGGAGTTAGTGATGATGAAAGTGTTTCTTCTTTCTCACATCACCCTGCCTGGGTGGGAAACAGCCAATGTGTTAATAAAAAAATAAAGCTTAACCCATAAACGGTCCAAACGTATATATACATTTTTACAGCTAGTGCCCCAAACGTATATATACGTTTTATTTGTCATACATTCAACATTGCCACAATAAGCCAGAGTTGCCTAGACATGAGAGAATGGGTGTGTGCACTCACTGTGTGCCATATTAAAATAATTGGGGATGCCTGGGTACCATATGCTCTTTTTTCCTATTAAAAAAAAAGATTTTTTTTTTTTCTTAAAAAAGTTGGGGCACTACGGTAGAGAACATATATATACGTTTGGACCGTTTACGGGTTAAACGAAGCTGTGGTCTGTCATATAATAATTATTGAGCAAAAAGGCATAGGAACAAAACTGGAAGATATTCCACAACCCATTCTTAAATATCAACAAAATATTAATATGTATACTTATAAAACACACCAAAGCAAACTTTTATAAATCAGGTCTTATAGTAAATTTCTCACTTTTTTTTTCAGCAAATTGATGAAACTTCGAGATTTCTGCGCCATCTGAACCAAGAACTTGGCTTAAGTGTTGGATTGTACCTTTGTCTTGTTGCTTTCAGAGGTATTACAGCTGCTACAAGCCTTTTCTCAACAATTAAACATTATGAAATCTCAGGAGTAAGTGATGTAGTATTAGAATACTGAATTGATATGTTTGGTGCATGTTATTTATCTAAACATTTAGTAAATTGGCATGTTGATAAACATGATCAACATGTCGGTTCTCTGAACCATTCATCTATAAATTGGCATGTTAATTCCTAAAAATATAACTTTCCATTTAAAATCTTATGGTTAAAAAGCAAAAGAGATATGCAAAAAATACACATTTTATAAATTAACCATATTTTTAATCACTAAACTATCTTATAATATGACTGAGAATTGACATTTTGTGTAAATTCACACAAAATCAGGTAAATAGAGTTTAATTTTTTATGGTCATTATAATATTTTACTAATGTTAATGAATTCTTTACCTGTAAAATAACAGCAGTTATTGATACATACTTATACGTATAATAATTACAGGGGTCAGAAGTTCTTGGTGTTAACAGCATGCAGAGAAATTCTAAAAATAGCTCTGACATAAGCAGAGAACCTGCTTTTGCAGAGGATACAATATTAGATAATACTAAATTGTGGCTGCATATCTCAGCCATGATTACCAACATTCTACCATGGCTTCTGCTGACTTTAATGCCACTCTGCATGGCTGCACGAGTCTCAAGCAATTACCAGACACTGAACAAGGTGAGACTAACTAAAGATTCTTACCATTTCTTTACCTACTTGTGTTAATGCCATTCTGTTTGAAGTGATGTACTTTTTATCTTAATTAAATCCATTCATTGTCCATGCTGTAGTACTATGAGTTTGAGGTCACTGTTGGTGCCATAGTACTACGGGTCTATGTGGTAAGTGTACACTGTATAAAAAACAGTCCTGCAGCATGCAGTGCATGGTGTATTTTCATATTGTTTTATTGTTGTATTCTTGGTTTCTTGGTCTCATTTGATAGAATGGAATATATATTACAGAAATAGAGATGATTTTGATTGGTTTTAGCACTAAAAATAGCTTGAAATTGAGCTCAAATTAGTAGAAATGTTCAATTTTTTGCTGATATTCAAGAGTAAACAGATCATGTCACTCGTCCAATACACTTCCAACTGGTGGGCCTAATATGCATTCACGAATGTGCTGATATTATTTATACAATTATTACAATATTACATAGCAGTAAATCTTCTATTTTTTGTGTGAATGTGCAATCAAAATGGAATTTGTATATAAAGCCTGGGAATGTAACTAATGAACAGAGAAATGTTATTTTAGTGCCAGGAATGCCTGCATTGTTTATTCTGGGCCCTATTTTGAAATTTGTGTGGCCAATTTACCAATTTCTGATTACTGTTTGGTAGTTGAAGTACTTGATTGGGTGGTTTCTTGTGTTCATTCAGTAAAATTGAAGACACATTTTTTTTTTTTCAACAAGTCGGCCGTCTCCCACCGAGGCAGGGTGACCCAAAAAGAAAGAAAATCCCCAAAAAGAAAATAATTTCATCATCATTCAACACTTTCACCTCACTCACACATAATCACTGTTTTTGCAGAGGTGCTCAGAACACAACAGTTTAGAAGCATATACGTATAAACATACACAACATATCCCTCCAAATTGCTAATATCCATTAGCATGTATCCATTAGCATGTATTAGCAAAATAGCAAAGAATTTTGTCTACTGGAACAATGTAATTGGCCCCAAATATGACTCAAACTGGGCAAAATCGCTGATGCTTAAATATCACCAACACATCAAAATTTGCAAGAGCATAATATTGTCAATTTTCCATCAAATTCCATACTTTTTGTTTTATTACCTTCAGAAAAAATTCTCTATCATTTCATTAAAAAATAACAGAAAATTTTTTGAAAATTCCTGAACACTGTGGACAAGTTTCAGACCAGGGGTCTGGACATGAAATGGTTATGTATGACACTGTTACGGTTTCTTTCATGGTAACTCACGCCCTTATAACATAGACTTTTTTTTTTATCCCATTTTGTAAATCAACTTAAAAAATTAGATGTTCATATTTACATACGAATTCAACAAATGTGTTGCCTAATTATTTTTAGTCGTGCCTGAATTTTTTTTTTTTTGTATTGGATTTGCAAAAAAACAAATACAGCACTCTCAAATTCTTTGTAATGTCATACCCATCTAATGTGCTTTTTTTTTTTTCCAAATAACAATTGGACTGAATTCTGTGGACTAATGTTTCAAGTGTTCCTATGAGATTTTAAATTGTTAAGGTGCTTTAAATATTTACTGAAGAATAGTTCCCAGTTGAAAAAAGGTATTAAACATATGAAAAAATGTTCTTTATAGACCATGCATTAGGATATACAGTAATATGTGTTAATTTTTTGTTTTCAAGAAGTCAGCCGTCTCCCACCGAGGCAAGGTGACCCAAAAAGAAAGAAAATCCCCAAAAAGAAAATAATTTCATCATCATTCAACATTTTCACCTCACTCATACATAATCACGTCTTTGCAGAGGCGCTCAGATACGACAGTTTACAAGTCCCTCCAAACTGTCAATATCCTAAACCCCCTCCTTGAAAGTGCAGGCATTGTATGTCCCATTTCCAGGACTCAAGTCCGGCTAACCAATTTCCGTAAATCCCTTCACTAAATATTACCCTGCTCACACTTCAATAGCTCGTAGTTCCAAAAACCATTCGCCTCCATCACTCATATCTGACACGCTCACACACGCTTGCTGGAAGTCCAAGCCCCTCGCCCACAAAACCTCCTTTACCCCCTCCCTCCAACCTTTTTTGAGGACGATCCCTACCCCGCCTTCCTTCCCCTACAGATTTATACGCTCTCCAAGTCATTCTTCTTTGATCATTCTCTCTAAATGACCAAACCACCTCAACAATCCCTCTTAAGCCCTCTGATTAATACCTTTAGTAACTCCACACCTCCTCCTAATTTCCACACTCCAAATTCTCTGCATAATACTTACACCACACATTGCCCTTAGACAGGACATCTCCACTGCCTCCAGCCACCTCCTCGCTGCAGCATTTGCAACCCAAGCTTCACACCCATATATGAGTGTTGGTACCACTCTACTTTCGTACATTCTCTTCTTTGCCTCCATGGATAATGTTTTTTTGTTTCCACAGATACCTCAGCGCAGAACTCACCTTTTTTCCTTCATCAAGTCTTTGGTTAACCTCATCCTTCATAAACCCATCTGCTGACAAGTCAACTCCCAAATATCTGAAAACATTCACTTCTTCCATACTCCCTCTCTCCAATGTGATATCCAGTTTTTCTTTATCTAAATCATTTGATACCCTCATCACCTCACTCTTATCTATGTTCACTTTCATCTTTCTACCTTTACACACCCTCTCAAACTAATCCACAATATGTATGGATTTATATATGGATTTATGAAGGATGAGGTTAATTGTAGAATTGATGAAGGAAAAAAGGCGAGTGGTGTGTTGAGGTATATGTGGAGACAAAAAGCGTTATCTATGGAGGCAAAGAAGGGAATGTATGAAAGTATAGTAGTACCAACACTCTTATATGGTTGTGAAGCTTGGGTTGTGAATGCAGCAGCATGGAGGTGGTTGGAGGCAGTGGAGATGTCCTGTCTAAGGGCAATGTGTGGTGTGAATATTATGCAGAAAATTCAGAGTGTGGAAATTAGGAGAAGGTGTGGAGTTAGTAAAAGTATTAGTCAGAGGGCTGAAGAGGGGTTGTTGAGGTGGTTTGGTCATTTAGAGAGAAAAGATCAAAGTAAAATGACATTGAGAGCGTATAAACCTGTAGGGGAAGGAAGGCGGGGTAGGGGTTGTCCTCAAGAAGGTTGGAGGAAGGGGGTAAAGGAGGTTTTGTGGGCGAGGGGCTTGGACTTCCAGCAGGAGTGCATGACCATGTTCGATAGAAGTGAATGGAGATGAATGGTATTTGGGACCTGACAAGCTGTTGGAGTGTGAGCAGGGTAATATTTAGTGAAGGGATTCAGGGAGACCGGTTATTTTTATATAGCCAGACTTGAGTCCTGGAAATGGGAAGTACAGTGCCTGCACTTTAAAGGAGGGGTTTGGGATATTGGCAGTTTAGATTGATATGTTGTGTATCTTTATACGTATATGCTTATAAACTGTTGTATTCTGAGCACCTCTGCAAAAACAGTGATTATGTGTGAGTGAGGTGAAAGTGTTAAATGATGATGAAACTATTTTCTTTTTGGGGATTTTCTTTCTTTTTTGGGTCACCCTGCCTCGGTGGGGGACGGCTGACTTGTTGAAAAAAAAAAATACATATATATATAAATCTTTCTTCTTCTTTCTTTCAACACACCGGCCGTATCCCACCAAGGCGGGGTGGCCCAAAAGGAAAAACGAAAGTTTCTCCTTTCAAATTTAGTAATATATACAGGAGAAGGGGTTACTAGCCCCTTCCTCCCGGCATTTCAGTCGCCTCTTATGACACGCATGGCTTACGGAGGAAGAATTCTGTTCCACTTCCCCATGGAAAATATATATAAATCCTAGGTAGTATTTTGGTAGGCAGCAGTTACCCAGGGAGGTACTACTGTCCTGCCAAGTGAGTAAAAAACAAAAGCCTGTAATTGTTTTACATGATGGTAGGATTGCTGGTGTCTTTTTTCTGTCTCATAAATATGCAAGATTTCAGGTACACCTTGCTTCTTCTACTTACACCTAGGTCACACTACACATACATGTACAAGGCACATATATACACCCCTCTGGGTTTTTTTATTTTCTTTAGTTTTATCTTGTTAATTTCCTCTTATCACCATGGGGAAGAGAACAGAATTCTTCCTCCGTAAAGCACATTGCGTGTTTGAAGAGGCAAACTAAAATAGCCGCGTAGCAAGGGGCTAGTAACCCTTCCCCCTGATATATAACTCTAATGTAAAGGAGAAACTTTCGTTTTTCCTTTTGGGCCACCCGCCTCGGTGGATACGGCCGGTGTGTTTGAAAAAAGAAAATATATATATATATATAGTATATATATATATATTATACTATTATATGTATGTAGTAGTTGTGGTAGACAGCAACCACCCAAGGAGGTACTACCGTCCTGCCAAGTTGAGTGTAAAACGAAGCCTGTAATTGTTTTACATATGGTTTAGGATTGCTTGATGTTCTATTTGTCTGTCTCATAAATATGCAAATTCAGGCATGTCTTGCTACTTCTACTTCACTTATGTCACATAACATACATATACCATTTTATTCATACACACTATCTGAGTTTTCTTGATTATCTTAATAGTTCTTGGTCTATTCATTTTCCTTTTATATCAGGGGAAGTGGACTAACGAATCTTCTCCGTAAGCCTGCGTGTTGTAAAAAGTCAACATAAATGCTGGAACAATGTGCTAATTAACCCCTTTTCCTGTAACGATTACTAAAAAGATTAAGAAGAGAAAATTTGTCAAAGTCGGGAATTCTGAATGTGCGATGCGATGTTGTGCAGATGATAGAAAGAGATTGATTGTGGAGTTATGACATGAGAAGAGCTGGATGATCCTGGCTTTAGTTAACAACAGCTGAAGGGGTTGGAGAGTTTAAATGGAGAGGAAAAAAAATGGATTAGGTCGGGGGTTTCAAATAGAGTTAGAGCTAAAAAAGGAGTAGAATAATTTTGAAGGATAAGCTAGGGGCAGGAAAAGAGGGATTAAAGTATTAATTCAAGGTTATGTGGAGAAAAATAAAGTTTGGGAGTGAAAATGGGTTATAATAAGGTGTATGCACGGGAGAAGAGAGAAGTGTAGAGGGAGAGAGAGGATTTGGGGAAATGTTGGTGAATGCGTGGGGAGTTTTGAATCAGTGTGGAGTTATGGTGGTTGGGGATTTCAAGCAAAGTGGGAAAAAATGTTAGGGGGGGAGAGTAGTAGGAAAATTTTGGGTGCCGGGGTAAATGAAAATGGGGGGCCTTTAAATTGAGCTTGTGTAGAAAAAAATTTGGTAAAAAAGTAATACATTTTTATGAAAAAAGGAAAATAAATATACAAGGTATGATGTAGCACGTAATGAAATTTAGTTTATTGATTATGTTTGGTGGATAAAAGGTTGATGGGTAGGCTCCAGGATGTACATGTTTATAGAGGGGCAAATGATATATCGGATCATTATTTAGTTGTAGCTACAGTTAGAGTAAGAGGTAGATGGGAAAAGAGGAAGGTGGCAACAACAAGTAAGAGGGAGGTGAAAGTGTAATAAACTAAGGGAGGAGGAAGTTCGGGCGAGATATAAGCGACTATTGGCAGAAAGGTGGGATAGTGCAAAGATGAGTAATGGGGGGGTTGAAGAGGGTTGGAATAGTTTTAAAAAATGCAGTATTAGAATGTGGGGCAGAAGTTTGTGGTTATAGGAGGGTGGGTGCAGGAGGAAAGAGGAGTGATTGGTGGAATGATGAAGTAAAGGGTGTGATAAAAGAGAAAAAGGTAGCTTATGAGAGGTTTTTACAAAGCAGAAGTGTTATAAGAAGAGCAGAATATATGGAGAGTAAAAGAAAGGTAAAGAGAGTGGTGAGAGAGTGCAAAAGGAGAGCAGATGATAGAGTGGGAGAGGCACTGTCAAGAAATTTTAATGAAAATAAGAAAAAAATTTTGGAGTGAGTTAAACAAGTTAAGAAAGCCAAGGGAAAATATGGATTTGTCAGTTAAAAAACAGAGTAGGGGAGTTAGTAGATGGGGAGATGGAGGTATTAGGTAGATGGCGAGAATATTTTGAGGAACTTTTAAATGTTAAGGAAGAAACAGAGGCAGTAATTTCATGCACTGGTCAGGGAGGTATACCATCTTTTAGGAGTGAAGAAGAGCAGAATGTAAGTGTGGGGGAGGTACGTGAGGCATTACGTAAAATGAAAGGGGGTAAAGCAGCTGGTACTGATGGGATCATGACAGAAATGTTAAAGCAGGGGGGGATATAGTGTTGGAGTGGTTGGTACTTTTGTTCAATAAATGTATGAAAGAGGGGAAGGTACCTAGGGATTGGCGGAGAGCATGTATAGTCCCTTTATATAAGGGAAAGGGGACAAAAGAGACTGTAAAAATTATAGAGGATAAGCTTACTGAGTATACCAGGAAAAAGTGTACGGTTAGGGTTATAATTGAAAGAATTAGAGGTAAGACAGAATGTAGGATTGCGGATGAGCAAGGAGGTTTCAGAGTGGGTAGGGGATGTGTAGATCAAGTGTTTACATTGAAGCATATATGTGAACAGTATTTAGATAAAGGTAGGGAAGTTTTTATTGCATTTATGGATTTAGAAAAGGCATATGATAGAGTGGATAGAGGAGCAATGTGGCAGATGTTGCAAGTATATGGAATAGGTGGTAAGTTATTAAATGCTGTAAAGAGTTTTTTATGAAGATAGTGAGGCTCAGGTTAGGGTGTGTAGAAAAGAGGGAGACTATTTCCCGGTAAAAGTAGGTCTTAGACAGGGATGTGTAATGTCACCATGGTTGTTTAATATATTTATAGATGGGGTTGTTAAAGGGAAATAAATGCTAGGGTGTTTGGGAGAGGGGTGGGATTAAATTATGGGGAATCAAATTCAAAATGGGAATTGACACAGTTACTTTTTGCTGATGATACTGTGCTTATGGGAGATTCTAAAGAAAAATTGCAAAGGTTAGTGGATGAGTTTGGGAATGTGTGTAAAGGTAGAAAGTTGAAAGTGAACATAGAAAAGAGTAAGGTGATGAGGGTGTCAAATGATTTAGATAAAGAAAAATTGGATATCAAATTGGGGAGGAGGAGTATGGAAGAAGTGAATGTTTTCAGATACTTGGGAGTTGACGTGTCGGCGGATGGATTTATGAAGGATGAGGTTAATCATAGAATTGATGAGGAAAAAAGGTGAGTGGTGCGTTGAGGTATTATGTGGAGTCAAAACAACGTTATCTATGGAGGCAAAGAAGGGAATGTATGAAAGTATAGTAGTAACCAACACCTCTATAATGGGCGTGAAGCTTGGGTGGTAAATGCAAGCAAGCGAGGAACGGTTAGAGGCCAGTGGGATGTCCTGTTTTAAGGCAATGTGTGGTGTAAATTTATTATGCAGCAAAATTTCGGAGTGTGGAATTAGGAGAAGGTGTGGATTTAATAAAAGTATTAGTCAGAGGGCAGAAGAGGGGTGTTGAGGTGGTTTGGTTCATTTAGAGAAGAATGGATCAAAGTAAGAATTGACATGGAAAGCATATAAATCTATAGGGAAGGAAGCGGGGTAGGGTCGTCCCGAAAGGGTTGGAGATAGGCGTTAAAGGCTATTGTGGGTAAGTGGCTTGACTTCCAGCAAGCGTGCGTGAGCGTGTTAGATAGGAGTGAATGGGAGCGAATGGTACTTGCGACCTGACGATCTGTGGAGGTGAGCAGGGTAATATTAAGTGAAGGGATTTCAGGGAAACCGGTTATTTTCATATAGTCGGACTTGAGTCCTGAAATGGGAAGTACAATGCCTGCACTTTAAAGGAGGATGTTGGGAATATTGGCAGTTTGGAGGATATGTTGTGTATCTTTATATGTGTATGCTTCTAGACTGTTGTATTCTGACACCTCTGCAAAAACATTTGATAATGTGCGAGTGTATGTGAAAGTGTTTAATGATGATGAAAGTATTTTCTTTTTGGGGATTTTCTTTCTTTTTTGGGTCACCCTCCATCGGTGGGAGACGGCCGACTTGTTGAAAAAAAAAAAAAAAAAAAAAAAAAAAAAATATATATATATATCTATTTACTTTTATAATTTATATATAAAATAATATAAATGGCAGTTTGGAGGGATCATGTTGTTATCTTCTATACCGTATAGTCTTCTAAACTGTTTTTCTGAAGCACAACCTCTGCAAAAGCAGTGATAATGTGTGAGTGTGGTGAAAGTGTTGAATGTGATGAAAGTTATTCTTTTTGGGCTTAATTTATTTCTATTTTTTTTGGCTCACCCTCCTCGGTGGAGACGGCCCGACTGTTGAAAAAAAAAAAAAAAAAAAAAAAAATATATTACACACCCCCTGGGTTTTCTTCTATTTTTTACTAGTTCTTGTTCTTGTTTATTTCCTTTATCTCCATTGTGAAGTGAACAAAATCTCTCTTCCGTAGCCTGCATGTCTAAGAGACGACTAAAATTCTTATGCATATGGGCTGGTAACCCCTTCTCCTGTATACATTACTAAATTAAGAGAGAAACTTGTGTGTTTTCTTTTATGGGCTCCCCTGCTCGAGTGGATACGCCATTTGTTGAAAGAAGAAGATATATCTAAATCATGATTTAACAGACCTCAGTTTAATGAAACTTGGAATTAATCAACAGAATTTAAAATTTTTCATTGTTGTTTAGTTTTTGAAAAAAATCTCTTCATTTGGACTTAACAGTCAATTGGCATTCCAAAACATCTTATCCCTGCTATTAGTCTGTTAAACTGAGGTTTCAGTGTTGTTCTTTCATTTCAGTCATCAATATTATGAATCATCAAAGCTAATTCAGTTTTCCTTCATCATCAGGCTGGGTGCCAATTACATGGCCGACCCTTTGGCTATCAGTCAACACCTCAGCAGGACATCGATTCATTTTTACTGTACGTTTCCAATTTACATTTGCAGGCAAAGATATTATGGATTCCTGTAAGGACTTATTTTCTTGTGTCAGTACTAGTTTTATCAGTCATGAGCTTGATCATTCTGAGTTATTTATATGTCTAAGTAATGAAAATTGTTGATGTAAAGCTTTTAAAATTAGTAGAAAAATACTGTACATTGTATCCAAAATATGTTCTGTGATATGATTAGGTGTATTGGTATTGCTAGTCTGCCTTCAGAACACTTGCTGTATAATTTTGGCCATCTGTAACATTACATGGAAAGCTCACGTAAAAAACCTTCCACAAAACTGATTGCTACAAGTTATTATATTCATGGGTATGCAAAAACTGTAGGGAACATATTGTGCCTGGGAACTGGAGGTAATTAAGCTTGATCCAAGGAAGTGGATAATAGCTCCAATTCCCTGATCAAGAGCTTTTCACTAGTGTCAAAGTAACCCCCTTCAACAACTCTACAACTTAATCCTCTTACACTTAAACACACTTTTTAAATAACCCTGGCTTATTATGGATAAGTGCTGGAATAAGTTGACAGGAAGTGACAAAGACACTTATGTTTGCAGAGAAACCTTAATTGCAACATTTCATCCAGGACTGGGCTTTAGCATGTATACAAAAACAGACTCACAGCCTTATAAGACAAACAAGAACCCTGAGGTCAGGCTCAGCAGAGGTCACAAGTGAGGTCATGGGGAGAGAGAGAGAGGTCAGACAATATACTTATTTAGGTGCCAGTGTCAAGGGTAAGGAGGATGAGGAGCAGGGTCAGGTCCATAGGAAACATGAAACAATATATGAGATGTAGATGATTTATCTGTAATATAAATGTTTTCTATGAACTTAACCCTGTACCATTCTCCACCCCCAGCACACTGACATCTAAATATGCATATTGTTTAATCAGTCTCTTTCCCAGTGACCTCACTTGTGACCTATCTGAACCTGACCTCAGTGTCTTTCTCGCTTTATTACACAATATTGTTAGGCCTTGATGAACTGTCAAAGTTGGACCGAAAAATTGTCATAAGTTTCAGTCTTCTATGTGCAGATTGTTTGTATAAAAATACTTTTGTTCTAATCTCTTTGTTAATGGAGTGAATGATGGTGAAAATGTTTCTTTCTCGGTTTCCCTATCTCAGTGGGAGATGGCAGTATGTTAAAAAAATATATAAATACACCTACCATCCGACTTACGACCAAGCTTGGTTCCGTCCAACCGGTCGTAAGTCGAAATGGACGTAAGTCGAACCTTTGAAAATTGCCGACATATTGGGTAGGGCATAATGTCAAAACTTTCCTATATAAACTACCTACATAATACTGTAATGTAATGTACAATCATTATTTCATTCTTTTTACCATAATTTACAAATATTGTTGTATTTTAATTATTTATGTACTGTATATAATGTATACATGGTAATGATATGTATTGTAAATTTTACATCGCATACAGTATCATATGTTACTATTATCTTTATGTATTGTCGACACAGTGGAATGGGAGAATACCACTGGTAGTGTCATCCAGCCAGAATGTTGTATAACCTATACCCTAAGTAAAGAGAAAACTCTGGAACATGTGTAATACGTATCCGGCTGGGTGGCCGGGTCTGTGGTTGGCCGGGTGGGTGGCTGGCTGGCTGGATGGGTGGGTGGGTGGCTGGATGGGTGGGTAGGTGGCTGGATGATGGGTGGGTGGCTGGATGGGTGGCTGGATGGATGGGTGGGTGGCTGGATGGGTGGGTGGGTGGCCGGATGGGTGGGTGGGTAGTTGGCTGTCTGGCTGACCGAATGTGGCTGTCTCTTTGTATCTCTCTCTCTCTGTATCTCTCTCTCTGTATCTCTCTCTGTATCTCTCTCTCCCTCTCTCTCTCTCTCTCACTGGTACACGTGAGTCAAGTTATCATACATATTAAAAATTACCTTGGATAACCCCAAAAATCCAGACAAAGTGCTATACAGTGGATCTGTGCTCCAGGGGCTTGGACTTCCAGCAAGCGTGCGTGAGCGTGTTAGATAGGAGTGAATGGAGACGAATGGTACTTGGGACCTGACGATCTGTTGGAGTGTGAGCAGGGTAATATTTAGTGAAGGGATTCAGGGAAACCGGTTATTTTCATATAGTCGGACTTGAGTCCTGGAAATGGGAAGTACAATACCTGCACTTTAAAGGAGGGGTTTGGGATATTGGCAGTTTGGAGGGGTATGTTGTGTATCTTTATATGTGTATGCTTCTAGACTGTTGTATTCTGAGCACCTCTGCAAAAACAGTGATAATGTGCGAGTGTGGTGAAAGTGTTGAATGATGATGAAAGTATTTTCTTTTTGGGGATTTTCTTTCTTTTTTGGGTCACCCTGCCTCGGTGGGAGACGGCCGACTTGTTGAAAAAAAAAAAAAAAAAAAAAATTAATAATCATTATTATTACAATAATACATATGTACTAATATTAATATTATTATTATTAAGCTATAATATAATCGTGTCCACTCATTACTTACCTTAAAATATCTGTAGTTTTAATGTAGAGTGAGAGGTGAGTAAACAAGATTAAATGAATAAATGAGAGAGAGAATGAGAATGTAGAATGTTCACGAGTTATGTAAACAAACGTTGTTGTTGTTGTTACCAGCCCCGACACGAACGATTCCTGTTCACTGTCAAGCTGACCAGAAAAACATCTCATATTTGTTAATTTATATGTTATGTAGCATGTTTATTATATAATTTTGAAAAAAAATCATAGATGGATTAAGCAAAATGTCTACATTAACGTTTTATACACATTTAATGCACCTCAGTGATTATTATTGTTATTATCATTATTAATATGGCATCTTCAAGACCAAGTACACTCTTAATGAGTGGCTCTGAGACAGACAAGCAGACAAAGACAGACACACAGGTAGACAGAAAGACAGACACACAGGTAGACAGACAGAAAGACAGACACACAGGTAGACATAAAGACAGACACAGGTAGACATAAAGACAGACACAGGTAGACAGAAACACACAGGTAGACAGAAAGACACACAGGTAGACAGAAAGACACACATGTAGACAGAAAGACAGACACACAGGTAGACATAAAGACACACAGGTAGACAGAAAGACACACAGGTAGACAGAAAGACAGACACACAGGTAGACAGAAAGACACACTAGTAGACAGACAGACACACAGAGATACAGACAGATATACAGGCAGACAGATACAGACAGGTTTATGTGCAACAGTGAAAAGTAGAGAGTTCGAGAGTAAGAGCCTTTCTTGCCACAATCTCAAGTGCAAAATTCAGACTTCATCTTAGGGGCCATGGTGAAATTTACTGTCCAGTTAGTACAGTTAATACAGTATGATGCTGCTGATAGGACAGGGTTACTCAAACTGATGCTGCCTGCATGACACATTGCCCCCGCGAGTATTGTCAAATATTGTACAGTGGTGTGCATCAGCCGGCCCAGCCCAGCTGCCGGCCCAGCCCAGCTGCCAGCCCAGCCCAGCTGCCAGCCCAGCCCAGCTGCCAGATGCACGGTCGTAAGTCGAGTGGACGTATGTCGAGCAGGTCATAAGTCGGATGGTAGGTGTATATATAAGGGGAAGTGGAACAGAATTCTTCCTCCATAACCCATGCGTGCCATAAGAGGTGATTAAAATGCCAGGGGCAAGGAGCTAGTAATCCCTTCTCCTGTATATATTATTAAATTTAAAAGGAGAAACTTTCGTGTTTCCTTTTGGGCCACCCTGCCTCGGTGGGATATGGCCGGTTTGTTGAAAGAAAGATATACAGTGGCATCTCGGGATACGAACTTAATTCGTTCCAGAACGCTGTTCGAGTGCCGATACCAAATGAATTTGTTCCCATAAGGAATAATGTAAATTACATTAATCCCTTTCAGACCCCCAAAAATACACTTACAAAAGCACTTACATAATTGTTCAAGTTTTGAGCTGTTCGTATCCCAAGGTACCACTGTATATATATTAGTTTAGATTTTATTTTATACTGCAAATAATTACAGTAATTAATTATTTGACATTTATCATTTTACAGTGTACTTGTTCAATCCAGCACCCAAACACACAATGATAGAAAGAACTGTCGTACAAAAAGGAATCACAAAAATATGTGATAATCCTTTGGGGTTGAAAAATCCTATTAACATTTTTCTTGAGGGGCTGGATAATCATTTATCTACTGTGTTACTAAAAATAAAAATCGCGAGTTTTAACACTTAATAATTTGTGTCAAAATCCCTACTTGTACTTAATACAGTACTGTTACTTTCAGCTAGTATTGATAAATGTGATACCAGTGTAAGAAATTTTGGAAGTTCATCTTGTCTATAATATATGTATCTGTTTCTCATAATTATTGTCACTTTTGCACATATTTATGTATAGTAAGGAGGAATTAAATTTTTTGTAGAGAACTGTATGCAATAGGTGCGCTGATTTACTTATAGTGATCCTAGATTGAAAAAATCTCTAGATGAGCAAATGCTCATTATAAACTTGTTCTACACTAATATGCTCCAATCATCATCTGTGATAAATGATTACAATAATAAATATATTAAGTGTACATTATTAAAATCATAGTTTTAATTGTTATAATATTCTACAACAATAATTGAAACTACAGGAGGGCACTGTTCATGCAGCTCTAAATATGGCACTGGTCGTCCTTTCCTTACACAACTGTTGTATGAAAATGGCGATAACAGCAGAGGAGTGGTAAAAGCACTGAACATAATGAACAATGGTGGCTCAGTTGAAGGCCAACAAAAATGTGGAACACTGAAAAATAGGTGCTGTATACGTGGAGCCCTCCTGTATTTAATTTGTGTTATTATTTATAATAATGTATTTTACAGAAACAGTCCACACTTAAGAAATAACTTGTGATAACATTTTGATTATCCTGGATCATTAAGGTAGTAGTCCAGGACTTGTGTCTTGACAGTGGTTCAGGATGGACTGAAATGTTATCATAAGTTTACTTTCTTAAGTGCAGACTATTTATGAATTGCTCCAATTGTGGTATTGTGAATTTTATTATTTTATAAAGTGCAGTACAGCCTCTCCTCACTTAGCGATGTACATGTACACCTACCATCCGACTTACGACCTGCTCGACTTACGACCACTCGACTTACGACTGTGTTTTTTATGCCAAATTTCTGGGAAATAAACAACTATTTGTGTTGTACACAGTGTTTATCCTAAACCTTACAGTATAAAATACAGTGCTAACAACATAAAAAGTAAAGTAAAACATGAAATACCAAAATAAAACAATAAAATAAAGTCATTACAAGAATGTTTTGTTGATATTCAGTAGTAAAGTTCGACTTAGGACCATTTCGACTTACGACCGGCTTCTCGGAACCGAACTCGGTCGTAAGTCGGATGGTAGGTGTACTTGTTTACCGATGCCTCAGACTTATGACAGGCTCTCTGACCAGTATACATACCTAAATAATGTATATTAGAGGCGATTTCCTCTATTCTGTTTATTACAGTATACAGGACACTACTGTATAAACATTTAAAAATATACCAGAATGTTATAAATGGTGCAAAGGTGACATTGAAATAATATCAAAGATAGTTAACACAAACCCACTATCATTATAGCATGCTCCTCACTTAGTGACAAATTTGTTTACCGACGTGGTCTTAGGAACGGAACTCCATCGTTAAGTGAGGAGAGGCTGTACTATAAATATGAATTAATACTAATGCATGTGTGTTATTTCATTTGATCATGATGTATGGTCTCTGCAAAAAAAAATTTGCCGCAGAAAAAATAGGAAAAAGGATGAAGAAACACAAATAGTTTAATGAACTTTATTAGGCAACTTAAAAAATACAAACATTAATGTGTTGTCATTCGACCTTTTGCTTTCATTATTTTTTTTAATCCTTTCTGTTCGGTACTTGATCGGCTGCAGACTTTTTTCTTGTTTTACACCAAAGATTTATTTTGCAACAACTGAAAATGCTATTTGGCATTTTAGCTTTTAATGAATGTTTTGTATTCTAAGTTATGCTAGTTTGTATTAAGAATGTGTCCTTTGTTTATAGTCACATACATAAAAACCAGGAGTAAGGAGTACTGTGTACTGAACACAAGAGCAAAGAAGACACTTGTACTTCAAAAAAAAAAAAATTGAATGAAAACAGTATCTTTGCCTGTCCATTCTGTGATAGACCTAAATACAAGGGAGAATTCAGAAATATGTACAGTACAGTACCTGCCAATTTTATTACATACCCTTGATGACGTAAGTAAAAGTTGAGTTAGCAAGAAAATGCAGTGCACATTTAAGTTTCTAAAGAAATAAATCCTAAAGTAAAGACTTACGTGACTATCAATAGAATACTGTATGATAATTTTTTACATATGTATTACTTTGAAATGTACATTGTTTATATTTATTCATACCTTAGCAATAAGTACAGTACTCTGCAACGGCTTCTTTAGTCTTGATATGAAGAAAGCACTTTCTGTAGCTTTTCATTATTATTATTTCTGTTTATGGACACTGTCACTCTGCCAAGCAGAAGTCTTCCATGTTGCTGACACATACAAGGTTTTCATTTCAAACCACAGTATTTTTTTTTTT